TATGTCTTCGTGAGAAAGTACGGCAAAGGGGTCTGGGCCCCACAGATCGGACGTGAGTATGGAATTCTATAGCCAAGTAGATCAAACGAATATAGAGTTCAGCAAGCTGTCGTGAGTCCATGCTACATGATGCACAGGGTCTTGCGTGAATCTGTCTTCCTTGCTTGATGCTTGCGTACATGCAGTCTTGTGCCGCCGTGGATCTCAATTTGCAGGTTTATGTATTCAGAGGTTGTAGTTTATTGGGCACGGATGCACACGCTTCAAATGACGCAATCGGCATACTTTCCAAGAGCTTCAGCGTAGAATGAGTTCGGCACGCTACCATGTTTTCCCATGGAGCGAATCAGAGGATGAAAATCCCTCCACTTCCTCGGAACCCAGCCCAGTTCCTTCAGTGACCAGGGCTCCGTGCCCATGTCAATGTCCGGCTCAGAAGCAGCAGCAGGGCAAGCCAGACCTGGATGTGCGGGTTATCACAGAAGATTCAACTGCTGGCAGAATCCTTTGGCACTGCCTGGATACCGTCAGGGCTATTCAAAAGGAGAACGGGGGTCAGCAATTGTGCGTCTTCAAGATAGGGCTCACTGCCAACCCAACGAAACGGAGGGAGAGTTACCGTCAGCAGAACTTCAAAAGCTTCGTCATCATCCACCAGACCTATCGCTCCGATCTTCTGGGTATGTTGGAAATGTTGGAGGCTGCTGTCATTGCAGAGTTTTACGACAATGGTTACCGATGCCGAAATCGACAACTGGGCGGTGAAAGTATGCGTGATAGAAACCAAGTGCCTCGTTTCCCGCCTCCATACTATGCGTATTGTGCAGCTACCAATGCTTCGCAGAAAGAACCCATTTTGGGTTAGTTGAGATTGGCTGTGTAAGATATAGGGGCGGGGGTGCTGGGTGTGAAAGCACACTGACAAGTCTGCACAATTCGGGCTTCGTGCGTTGTGCAAAAACGATCTTGCTTGCATGGGTTAGTCAGGTCTGGGAAGCTTACGAAGTTCTGCAAGCATGATGATCGGTCGTTGCATTCTATGCAAACTTTAGCTTTTGCAATCTTCTGTCGGCCGAGGTCCCGGCGAAAGACATCGTCCTGGATGCCAGGACCGCGGCGAAGACGGACTCCTGCCCCGTGTTAGCAAGCATCGCGAGAGTGAAAGAATCCAGCGCGGACGCTCCACTCTTCAAGATTTTCAGGGAGCACATGTTGGCACTGCCGGCGCCTATCTCTTTTAAGAAGGTTGCGACCCTGGAACAGTACCCGTATTTGGACCCACGACCTTTTCTTGAAACTTTGAGCGGGAATGGATTTTTTCACAAAGTGCTTGGGGTGCCGGTCCAGTCGGCTGAAGCATGTATGTTATCTTTCTGGGAGAAATTTCGAGAAGTGCATCCCAATCACGGGATATTTTCACAATACATTCCTCTGGGTAACCTCATTCCGTACTACCTTCATGGAGATGGTGGTCGCGGTTACAAAAAGGATCCGATCGAAATCTTATCAATGTTCCCTGCCCTTGGAGCAGGATCCAGGTCGAACCCTGTAGATTTGAGTGGCAAGCGAAAGGCTGATGACTTGACTCTGGGCATCAATCTTCGAGGGAACTCTGGCACAACAAGGTTTTTGTTCGCAGTTCTCAGCAGCCTTGTCTACAAGCGCCATCCAGGTGCTCTCGATGCGCTTTTGGATTTGTGGGGTCAGAAGTTGCAAAGCCTTTTCAGCGACGGATTTCAGGCCATGGGGACTACGTGGTATATTGCGATTATTGGATTCACTGGAGATTCTCCATTTGTCAAGAAAATCGGTCACATGAACCGAAGTTTCCACAATGTTCGCAAGCGGGCTTCGTCTAGGACTAAGGCTTCGCAAACTGGCTGCTGCTGGCTATGCATGGCAGGAACCGAAAACGAAACCGAGAATTACCCGTTCGAACACATCGGGTTCTTCGATCCACTTTGGCTACAGACACGAAGACAAAACAATCGAGTGCCTTGGCAGGGCAACGGCGGCCCCCTGCTGTCGTATATGCAACTGGATCCTGACGACACCCCGTCAGCCTGGTATCGAGCTGATCTGTTCCATGTGTTTCATGCGGGCGTCGGACAAGATTTTACGGCTTCTGCAATCACCTACAGCATGCGGATGTTGTTCAATCTAGGTGGCTTCGACCGAGACCTCGCAGCCTTGAATCGGCTCCTTGCTACATTCATGACATCACAGAAGAAACGCTTGCACTGCGGTTTTTTGTCGAAAGACCTGTTAGGCTACAGCTCCACTCGTGAGTTTCCTGAAGGGAAATGGTCGAAAAACAGTGACACTGCCGTGGTGATGCAGTTCTTGGTTTTTTTTTTGCAGCAGGAAGAGTTCGTGGGCAAAGTGCGAAGCGATCCAATCTTGAATGAAATCTTGGAGGCGGCTCTTGCTATGGGGCGAGCGATTCGCCAATGCTTCCGAGCCGACTACTGGATGTCATCAGACGATTGCATCGAAGTCATCCAGTCGCTTGGTATTGGCAGGATTTTGTGATTTCTCATGGTTGGCCTGTCCTCAAGTACCAATTCGATCGAATAACTGATTCATGAAGTTTAGTGTTCTTTCACTTTGGCTTGGGGAAGTCGAAAAAAAGAAGGAATGGCCACGCTTTCTTGTGCGGATATTCCAATCTTTCAAGCATGTGCTACGAGCAGAAGTTGTGCTTGTTCAAGAACAGACCGAAGATCCACTATCTCAACCATATTTTCTTACGGGTCTACGATGAATGGACAACAGGCGGGATAGCTGTCAATCCCGTCGCCGAAGCAACCTTTATGTCTGAAGACTTTGTTGGGCACACTGCCCGCATATCTCGAAGAGTGGATCCCAGGGCAATCGCTTTGAAGGTACTTCAGCGGTATCTGTGTTGGGCTCAACACGTTCTTGACAAGGATGCTCTGCTAATGCTCGAGCTTTCCTGGCTCGACTAGCTGGAACAAGAGCAACTCGAAAACAATATCAGCCTTTTCTTTTATCGAAGGGCTATTCTATCACAACGAAATCCTGACAAGAACCCTTACTTCCCAGGTTCGCTCCTCGAACCGCCGTGAAGCCAGCTCTCGCAATGGCCGCAAAACGAGGGCCGCAGATAGCTTCGCAAGGCTTTAAGCGGTTTCGCAAGCTTGCGGGTTGATTCGAGGCTGTTTGGGCTTCCGGAAGACCATTGATATTGAGGTTGAAGGTATTTCAACTTCACCATTTACAATGGTATGCCCAACACATCCCCTGCGATCTCAATCCGATGAATTTAGCCATCAACCTGACGAAACCCAAACGCACGAAATTTCAGGGCACGTGCGCTTTTCCTGAGGATTCCGGCTGCGGCTGTTTATTTCCAGAGGTTGGGCTTCACAGGTATATATATATATATATATATATGAATATGAATATATACATCGCTCTCTCTCTCTCTCTCTGTCTGTACGCCCATTTTCATTACTGCTCACACATGCACGCACACGCCCACGCAAACACATAATCGCACGCACAAACATGCATGCGCGCACAAGCGCACTGCCACCCCCCCTGCACGCACACACACACACACACACACTGACTCCCTCACTCACGCGCCCATTCACTCGCTGGCTGACAAACACGCTCGTCAGCTGATATTGCCTCACGAGGCACCCCCGAAGAGATCCCGCCACTTGTCCCGGAGCGGCTCAAGCAGCTTCGAACCACGCGAAGTGATCCTGCGTTCTGGTGTTGGCCTAGCTTGCATGGTGGTCTACAACTAATGTAAGGTTTGGGGCGGAAGGTACTGTGTCCGAGCAACTTGCGTTCCTGTTTACGCTCAGCAGCACATTTCCATACACTGCGGAGTTCGCTTGATGCCTTTGCAGTCTTTTATCAGCAAGAAGTTGCTGGCGACGGGGATAAGGCCTTTCGTCAATCGAATCATTGCACTACCCAATCTATCTCCGACCTTTGCCTAAAAAATATCAGGGTACGGAGACTGCAGGCCGCGATTCAACATGATTCAACTCCAAAAAAATACACGGCGTTGGAGTGAAGGTTTTGGCCACTGTTGATGGGACACGAGTCTTCTGGTAATGAAATGCAAGATCACTTCTTCAAGACCCGACAGGACCACGGTGACTTCAGGACAGAACGCGGTCGTTTTGTCGTGAGGTTCAACTCTTTGCTATCAAGACTTTGGAGTCAGAACAGCTTGAGACCACTGCTTGCGGCAGGTGCCGTGTAACGCGCTTCATAAAGACTCCCCGCTCCAAGATGGTTGGGACATGGGCATCCACACAAAAACGCCGAATGATCATGTGAATGCTGCCCTGCCTTCCGGCCAGCTTTCCCAAAGCCGACTGAGACTGCTCCTGTCCGTTCTTAGATGAAGCTCTATAGTGCTGTAGCCAAGTTCCATTCGCATTCACTTCTGGTCGTGATTCCACAGCCGTGTGCATTCCACATCAAGGGCTGTAGGAGATCTCCGTCTCCAACTAACAAAAAGAGAATAGCAAAATTCCTTACAGTTTTGAAGGAACAGTTGTAGTCCTGACTGACTGTAGTATGGTTAACCTTAAAAACCATGCAGTAGCAGTGCCGGCTGACTTATAACATATCCTAGTAGTGATAATTCACTTTCTCACGTCCAAGGCTCCGGGTACTGACCCTCTTCGGTTTTTGCTGCTGCGGGATGCCATCCGGGGACCTCTTGTGCGAAGGGTCGGAACTCAACTCTCACAATTTGCTGAGACGGCCGTCAAAGGATTTTGTCTAGTCCGATCTCCACCTGGGACATCAAGTGCTGTCGCTGGTTTAGTCCGAGCTGAACAGAATCCAAGGCACTCTAATCCTGCTTGGCAGTCTCAAATGTTGGCGGATGCACTGCACGACTTCTTTCCTGGCTTGACGGCAACGTGCTGTCATTTACGAGTGGGCTCTTTTATAAATCTCCTCATTCACGCTCTCTTTACCTCTCTTGGCCTCTCTGCCTGTCTTGTTCACTCTCGCCATGTAATGGCAATCTGTCCAGGACCGTTCAGCTGGAGCGTCTGATCGCCATGTAGCTTGTTGTCCAGGGACAGTTGGTAGATCAGTCCCAGCTGAATAGTGACGTGGTGCTTCCTGAGAGGACTGAAACCGACTCGCATCTAAAAGCTTCCATCCTGCAGTTGCCATGATTCATGCAGAAACTGACTTTATCTTTCTATATCTGCATGTACTTCTTTTTGTATTCCGTATACAAGAATATGTATGAGCCTAATCTACGTACGTGTAGATTCAGACTGATACATAGATGCAGGCATACGGCGTTATACAGACGCACATGCAAGCATCCCCAAGTGCGTAAATGCATGCATGTAGGCATGTGTAACGGTTCTCCATGCAGAATTCCAGCCGACTTTTGCGAATTCAAGTACCAAAATGATTTCAATATGTTCAAGCTTGCCTCTTCCGAAGTTCAGGCAATGGGTAGGACGACCCATGCAGACGAACTTGCAAATTACTCAAAACATCGCACAGGAGGCTAAAGGCACGACCAAATTTTGACGCACTCACTCAGACATCGACTGGCACGCATTCATATGCACCCTTTTGCATACATCGTGCATATAATTACCTCGCATACATAGGCCACCATACACGCATACATACATACACACATACATACATACACAAATCCATTCATACCTACACACCCACAAAAGTACTTACCTACCTTCATGCGCACCTCATACCTCTGGACAAGAGAGGTGGTTCCTAGTCATCTCCCAAACCTCGCTTGAGTTGCTCGAATGCGAGTGCTAAAAAGTGCGCACGCTGCATGCATACAAACATACTTGCATGGATGCCGGCATGCAGACATCATACATACCACGCATGCATGCATGCACACGACGAACACAAACAAAACTGGTAGGTGTATCCCTACCGTTCTTCTTACCTACCCAGATGCATGTACACCACAAGTTCTTGTAGTATGAACCCACACGTACTACTTTGGGTACCCTCACATACCTATAAATATGCATGCGTGCTGCATCTATCCTGGACCGTGTCCCGTGCTGTGAGTACACTCTACGTAGAGACGGACACCCACGGGCAAACATGCCGACACGTGCCAGGGACACCTGCATAAAGAACTGAATCCTGAAACCCTTTCAGGATTCGTTTCGTCCCGCAGGTAACCCGGCAGAATCAAGCTGCTAATGCATGTGAACACATTCTGTATTCTGTCGCCTTGAAGGCCTTTTCGAAAGTCGAACAGAGAACGCAAACTGTTCTGCAGCTGTTCTGCGCTCGCTGCGACTACCACAACAGCATAACCTGAAACGTATTATAACAGCCAGCAGATGTTCATGTCCTGCCGGGAATCACGCCGTAGACAGGCCAGTCCGCGAACCAGGCCCAGAGATATGCGTAGTGGCTAGCCAAAGACAGAGACTCGGACGTGAAGGCCGCTGCCTCCACATGCTGGGACAAGATGTCGGCTTAAATCGGGAAGTAGCCTGCACTTCCCTACTTCTGGGCTCTAATTTGTTCATGTCAATATCCAGCCGCACTTACAGTTCCAACGAGTTCAGTTGGCTCAGCAAGCCAGCTTTCGGCATGTAGCCTTCATCAGCAAAGTGCTTGGCACCGAGAAGCGCACACACGCACACACACACACACACACATCGTCTATTCTTCATTAGTGCAAACGCACCAAGGTACCTACATTGCCAAGAAGGGAACAACAACAACTTGGTTCTTTCCCCAGCTTGTACCTGGCAGGCCATGTCGAAAGCTTCAGTGGCATCTTCGTGTGGGTGTCTGGTCCGCTGGTTCTCCGCCACTAGACTCACTAGTTTCTGCGTCTGCTTGTCGAGGTCGTTGTCGTACCCTGTCGGCTCGAAGGCATTGACAATGTCCTGGCGATGAAGGAAGCCACGCCTAAACGTGCTGGAGCACTGTGATTGTACACACTGTGGACAAGCGGAGGCCTCGTCTGCGATGATGATCACTTCATCACCATCGTAATCGCCTCCCGCTAGGTACTCAGCCGGCGCCCTCTCGCAGTCTGTGTGAGCCGACATGATGAGCACCTTGCTTCACAATCTATGGATATGATTCAGCAGTGCAGATTTGTTAATACAACAGAAAAGCTGCTCGAAAGAAATGAACAGGCGCAGCGAAAACAGAAAGCCTAAACAACAAGCGATGCCAGCAGTTTAGCTTGCTGTAGATGCCCACAAGGCACGTTGTCATGCACGAAGCTGGGACCCAGGGTGCCAAACCTCCTTATGATCTCGGCGTGCGACAGGAGACGAATCTTCTGCACGTCCCAGGGTGCGGTGCCTGTTTGTCTCCAGTGCCGCTGAAATTTAGTGTAGGGTCAGGTGGACGGCTGAAATCAGACTAGAGAGATGAGTCGAGGTGCAAGGGCTGCGTGCAACAACAACGTCTCCAGATAGGTATCCCTTTTTGGAGCCGTGTATACGGAAGATGCCTCAGTGCAAAGACCAATCAATGGCCGGAGTACTCAACGCGGCTTGTCGGTGCTTCTTCTACCGGTCGGAGATGGTCATAACTAACTGCCCATGGCCAGGGGTCCTTCCGATGGGCGTAGCGCTTGTGAGAAGTCGGGTGCGATGAAAGCTCGCCATGCCTGTGCCCATCTGCCGTGGGTGCTACTGGTACTGCAGTGCTCCATACCAAGCCTGTCTTGTTCCTCGATTGCTTGATTGAGGAAACATATTCTACTCGCCTTTGCATGAAACGTTTCGGCACTACAGTACTACTTTCTGCGCGCAAACCCTTCCTGCTTGCACTCGTAGTTTGGACGCTCTGCCAACTCCTTCACGGCGCCATAGTTGTATTCCACCAGCCACTTCCTGGCTCAAAGGCATAAACCTGCCTTGACTGCCCCTTCCACGGCACAATGTGTTTGCCATATCTGAGGAGGGTACATGCGGAACCTGGCACTCGGCCTGCGTTTCAAAAGTTCCCAACTTACTTCTCGCTCCACAGCACCACGTGAGCTGCTCTTACAACAGGGGGATAGATGTCGGCAGTTGCCTTCTTCTGTAGTTTTGTGGACATGTAAGAAACTAGTGGCCCTGTGGCTGTTCTTCTGCCTCATGGTCCTCAAACCGAATAGACCAATTCACAGACTAGTCATTCACCAACATAAGGGGTCTTTGGCCGAAGCGGCTTTCATTCCACAAGGGCACGCAACCGCACATGCAACAGCTTTAATGCCGAACGTGCAATCACATGAAAGCCACAATCAGAATCACAGCCCGTTGCATTTCGAGGCTCATTCCGTATGGGTCCATCCTGCGCCGCATCAACAAACGACTGAAGACAGATGCGAAAGCCGCAAAGTCAATCGCTTCGGCCGTGGAGCTGTCGACGAATCCAAGTTACTGTAGGCACTTTCGAGAAGATTGCTGTGTCAACTACACCCGTGGACATGAACCGAATGCCGAATGCACCGGAAGCTCTCGAATTCTGCCTTGGGTCGTAGTTTGCGTTGCACATATCCACGACCAAACCAGACTTGCCATCTTGCGGATTGGAAATCGTCCGGGCTACCTGGAGTACCGGTGAAGGAGCTGTCGTGTGCTGTCGTTCTGGCGTCTGAGCTACTACCACGAAGAATCCCGAAGCTAGAAAACACTGGCAATATTCAACATTCCAGCACGAAAGTAGACTCAGTAGACTGCGACTGTGCTCTCTGTTTCAAAGCATTGCAAATTACCCCCGAAGTCTTGGCCTTAATTTTCAATCGTAGCTGCGCTGGACGTATCACCGCCAAACTTCTTCGCCGCAAAAGCATCCAGGTGATCCTTCTGCAGCTGCTCCTTACAATCAGGTAGGGTTTGCGCATTTCCTCCTTCTCTCTCTTGAGAAATTCAGGGTGACCATATAACGACGCGCACCAATCTGCGAGCACCGAATCTTCTATTTTGCTGGCTGGTTTCACTTGGACTAGATACGTGTGCAATCTGAACTCCTTTAACGCCGGAGCCAAGGTGAATCGTTGGACGGATAAGCTTGCAACACGACGAGGATCAGCATGTGAGACGAACAGAAACTAAACTAAACGCCATCGCATGCCACCAGTACCAAGGCCATGCTTTTGACCTATGGGATTTTCGTTTATCCACATTCATCCTCGCCTGCTCATGGTGAACACAAACACGAAGATCATTCGGTAGATAACCATGATCGAGTCAGGTAATAGTCTGCAACGAAACAATCTACAAGTAGTGCAGCCTTCGGAATGCTCCATTGCTGTATTATTCAGCAGCTACAACCTGCAAAGCCGAGTTAGCAAACCCAAACCTGCAACACCAATCGCCATTGTCTCCGTGTTTAAACTAGAGTTGTAGGACTGCAGAGCACTGCAGAATACAACATGACAAAGAGGGACCCCTTCTGACTGCAAATACTACATACGTTTCGCCCGGAGTGGGAGTTGGGGGCCTTGCTGGACGAGGATGGGAAAATTTGGCAGGTTGCAGCGGATGCGGTCAGATCGCAGCACATGCCAAAGCAAAAGCCAAATAAGCTGAATCGCCAAACCAGCAGAGCTATGAGAACTGAACAAAGGCAGCTTACACTCCCTTGCGCTGACATCGCTGAACATATCCGGCTAGTATGTGTAGCGCCTTCCTCATCATCCTGGCGGCCTGCCCTGCAGGATGCTGTCTGGGTTATGCCAGCACAGGAGATTCGATAGATTTGATTCTCTTCCCCAGCCCTGCAAGAACAAGGGTGACTCATGGACATCAGAAACTACAAGTCCAAGCCAATCTCCAAGACTTCTGGCTTGCACTGTGTGGAAGACTTGCATCAACTTCGATGCAGAAGGCTCGCTTCGATGTGCACACCGGACAAACAGGCCAAATACGACGATGTGAAGGACTAGCCGTGTCTAGTGCCTGTGAATGAGAAAGAACACAAGTCTTGCAGTCTTGCATTAATAGCTCGCAAGACTCCTACCCGTTGCTGCCGGTGCTCATGTTCCACAACTGTGGAGCCCCTCACCCTACTATTTCCACGTCCCAGGCTCGAAGACTTCAGCCGACACGCCGCCGCTTTCCAGAACGGCAATCAGCTGTCCGTTTAGCAACGCCTGGAGTCTCACGGCACTACACTTACAGGCCTTTCCGTTGCTAGATCTACTGGGGTGCTTGAAACCTGTATCTCTGACACGGTCTGGCTGCAAGGCCAAGGTGCTGAGTCGGCGCAGAACTTCGAGTAGGCACGGACCTGCATCGCTCGCAACAAGCCCAGAAATCTGGTCGAATGACTTATAGGGTTCCGGAGGTGGTGGTTTTCGGCGGTGTAGAATTGAAGCCTGGATCTGGTGACCACATCTTAAACGGGGTCCAGAAAGCCGCTCCAACCCACCGAAACTAGTGCAAACAACTCTGTAAACCCGGATGCCCGCGTAAACAACACAACTACCAGGCTCACTGGACTCAGTGATTCTAGGCCGTATGTGATGTGGTCGCTGCGCTGGCATACTGCACTGACGTTGAGATCTGATACCATTGAAGAATCGCTCGATCTCTAACCGCTCATGCCTCAAAAAACAGCGAAACCCGCAAGACACTTTGCACGATCTCCTTCCGAAGCCCTGCAGGCACCACATAGCAAGGAGCCTCGAAGGTACGATCCTCCTGCATGGCCGGCAGCTTCGGTGCAATCCCATCCTACACCCCTGAGCGAGCGCCAAATCCGTCGGACTCCTTGCTCCAAGTAGCCCCAGTATGTGTATATTTCAGAATTAACGATGATAAATCGGTTATTGTAGAACTCGAACTGCATCCCATGAACCAAAGACGTGCAGACCGCATACCAGGATGACCGACTGAACTGAGTGAAGATTTGGGAGGTCTAAGGCAACAGGGGAAATAGGTTTCAGGGCTCCGGGTCAAAGGCTCAGGCTCTTTCTGTGTGTGTGTGTGTGTGTGTCTGTGTTTTTGAGTTATAAGAGAGTTAAGAAGTACGTATTTGCGAATGCACGACTGACGAGACAGGTCAGACAGGCTGTCTTCGGTTCTGTGATGAAGTGAAAGATCACCGCAGCTCAGAGCTGTATCATCAGACAACCGACCGTGGGCGATGCATAGAGATTAGCTCATGACTACTTGGCGATTTGGAACCTTCCATGGCTGAGTTCACAATCTGGGTGTAGGGGCGCAAACATGCAACTTCGCCTTGTCCCACAAAACCAGGCATGCTCCTTGTCTAAACCTTTATCCGCCCAGTCCATGAGCCACTTCGTCATGCTGTCCTTACACTCGAGCGGACGCATGCAAGCCACAACGCTGTCAATGTGTACTAAGCACTACAGTACGCGGAGCACCCCCCACCCGAAATCTGATCTCTATGCTCGGTTCGACCCAAAAAGCTGTACCTAGATTCCGAAACCTTGCCCTGCGACCTCCTGAACCATAGCAATCCCGCAGAGGCCCTTCTTCAGCTCTCCTTCCCTGAACTACGCAAAGCTCCGGCAAAGCCTTCCAAAGATCTGGAGTTCAGGCACGAGCAAGATCTGCTAAATGCCTTGCACTAAACCGGCTCAATTTAGCTTGTCACTTGGCTTTGCATGCTTTGCATTCCGGGGTCTCTCATCTCGATGCCATGCGAGTCGGCCAGAGCTGTGTCCACGATCCACAGGCCTGGCAGACAGTTGATGGAAGCCCCTGACTTGACTACCCATGGCATAGTGTAACCTTCTCGCAAATTCCCACTTCACGTGGGATGCTCCTTGACACTGTATAGCCCTTGCCGGCGCAAGGGGTGGATGAATCGGATATAATCAGGTGCCTACATATCCCTGACTGCTTAGGTCACGCCGTTGCCTTTGCAGCTTCCGATGCGGCCCTGGAACACAGCAGGGATGAAGTCCAAGCCCAGCTTGCGGCTGATCGCCTCTGCTGCGTCCAGGCCCAGTCGTCCACATCCATCCGTGAGCACCGCGCCAGAGGAACTCCGAAGGTCGTCCTCTCATGCGGGTTTGCGAACTACAAGAGCATCCTAGACTCCGGTGGATATACGTACTCATGACAGGCTATACAATAGAGTCAATGGAGGTGCAGGAAGAAGTCCTCCTCATAGATGTGGCAGCTGTCAAACTGGATGGTCGGAGTCGCTGCGGTGAAACCTAGATCTAGGCGCTTCATGTACTTGCCCTTCTCCTGAAGATCCTTTTCGTTCCGCCAAGTTCTGTCTGGTTTCCGGCAGAGGAAATGCTGTTTGCATGTCGGGCAGCAACTGCTTGTGACTTTCTCCGGGATGTGAGTTCTGTATACCGTCTGCACAGACCATTCCTGTAGGTTCATGGAGGGTGTGCGATCATTCCAGAAAGCACGCACATGCTCGTTTGCCGTTTCTTCCTTCTCCCTTTCAGGTGTCCAGCTGCACGTCGCGAAGAAAATGTGCTGCATTTCTCGCTTGGCACCAGGGTCCTTCCGATAGCGCTTGTCCTGCTTGCGCACCTTGCTTGTGAAATAAGACCACCAGCGACCACACCATGAGAATGGTTGTAGGTGTCGTTTCAGCATCTGTTTGCTCAAGCGCATGGTTTCCGGAGCACCATCTCCACGTGACTTCGCGCAGGTGGTCACCCGCAAGAACCGATCTTCGCCGAATTTACGATGGAATCGGCAACGCGGTCCCTTCTCAATGCGATCGGCAGAAAACCTGCGATGGTTATCATCGTCTATCTCCATTATCGCATGGTAGGACATCCTGGATATTGCGTCGTCAGTTACAGTCTGGATGGGCTCCACATCTCCAAAATGCAAGTAAGTCATCGCCTCCTTGATTGGCCAAGTGGTTCCGTTTTCACACTTGCAGACGAATCCTCCATGATCCTTGTCGAAGATCACAGAAACCTCAGGTGCGTGCTCAAACCTTATAAACTCTGCGAAGCGCAAGGGTGGGCCGTGCAGCCATCCCACATCTTGCTGATGATTGCTGCGCTGAGGGACATCGCACGTCTCTCCGTCCTTGGTAAACTTCAGCCTCTTGTCAGCATCTTCCTTTGACTGGGTGACCTTCATGAGGCGTTGCAGCTGAAAGTCCTGAATAAGGGCAGGCATACAGAGATGCATCGCATGTGCATGCAAATGATCTGCTGCACTTCGCTGAGTTAGAATGCAACTGAGCGTTGCATTTGATCATTTGTTGCGTTTCATGATGTCGAAGCATAACATAACTACATGATGCATTGTGTGTGCATGCATGTGCGTGTGTGTTCTGTTGTCGCTCACTTCGTACACCACTATTCTCTGCTATGGAGCACAAGGTGCATACTATTCTGTGTCGAGTCTTCATCTCAGCATTGCCATACGATGTAAGACCCGAAGTGACCTGATCTTGCTACGGCTTTTACCATATATGATCCCAGTTCTCGGTTCACCGACCCCCCCACGCTCCCCAAGCCGAATCTGTGTGACTGTGCAAGCTTTTTCCACACGAGGGCTCACAAACCAAGCAGACCCACGCAGGAAACCCAAACCGCACCACACAACAGGGAGGAGTGGGGTTAACCAGCCTAAGCAAACCCACTCCCGAACCACACCACACCACAGAAAAAAACAAACAAAAAACATAACCACAACACACCACAGGCGGGGAAGGATGAACCATTGGGGGGGGGGGAGGGGGGGGGCCGACCGAACCGGGATCATATATGCATCATCCGGTGTGGCAGGTTCGCCCCCGTGGTAACATGCAAGACTGCGACCATGGAACTGTACTGTTAGATGCGCTATGTTGCTATTCTAACGGGCGTCATACTTTGTGGTCTCGTCCTAGAAGGTCTTGGGCGTTTTCGGCCGGTTCAAGTTACAGCCCACAGCCTCACAGTTTTGAGCTTTGCTGTGCTGGAGCAGGAGCACAGCTGCTATTGCACAGTACTTTGCTACACGGGACAACGCCATGACCGAATCCCGAGTTTACTCATTCAGCATCGTAAAGTTGTTTCACAGCACTCAGAGGTGCAGTACAGGGTACAGGGAGCATAGCTAGCGTAATCGTCTGTGGCTTCTGAGTTGTTCTCTCGTGCTCGCGAAAATGGATACATTGCAGCACAGGCAGCTGCAGTTCGGAAGTACCAAGTACAGTAGTGCTGCCTGCATATGCATGCGACCATGCATATTTACACATGATTCCGAAACTGATTCCTCTAACCTGCACCTGATTGAGGGTCTCCTCGAAGAAAGCTCTTTTTCGGTCTTGCTCCTGGCAGAGCGCACGGCTGCAAGCTTTTTCCTTTGCTTAGGGGCTTGCGGCTTGAAGGATGTGGTCTCTCATCAATGCATGCAATGCGAGACGCCCATGAAAACAAGCTGAGGCCGTCTCCCAAAAGGACCTGCCTGGCTCGAAAGTTGGGACGAGCAGCTGGAGAGGCTAGCGCGCAGCGGCCTAGCAAAATCAGATTCTGGCTTAGCGAGGCATCCTCTTCAATTTGTCCCTCTGTTTCAGGGTATGGGGTGAAAGACCGCCGTTTCGAAACTTGTCCCCTCTTTGACCATCAGGGATTGGAGATTGACGCTAGCAGCAAGCAACTACCCCTGACCCGGGGAGTCCGGAGAGAAATTATTCGCGAAATCGTCGTGGCGTTCGCAATGCTTCTCTGGTGCAAACCATGTCTCTCTGTCTCTTGCGCTCTCTCTCTCTCTCTCTCTCCTGGGCTTGGGGACGGGTCAGCGTCCCCGGGCTTCGCCCACCCACTTCATTGAGTGGGTATCGCGGGGAGTGAAATACGAGTGTAATGTCCCTCGTAGGCAAAGGCCACAAGGTTTACAATGACGATTATGAGGTACATGTACACTCTCACAGACATTTGCCTTCATTAGGAATGAGTTCCTCCTGAAGTTTGTGATTCAACAGAGTAAACTGGAATAGTGGTAGGAAATCCATTTCCACCGCTTTTCTCTCTTCTTCTTCTCTCTCTTTTCTTTCGCCAGAGCTATGGTGTAGGGTGCTGTTTGACCCCCTACACCGCGCGCATGTGTGCCCCCGACTGTGTCTCTCTCTCTCTCTCTCTCTCTCTCTCTCTCTCTCTCTCTCCATTAAATTCTTTCGGGGCCTAATCTTTCTACCTTGTGCCTCCAAATACGGGTCAAAGATTACAAGACGAAACCTTAACGTAGAGTAGCAGTATGCATACCCCTGTACTCTTCCCGCTTTTTACTCGACTGCCTCTGAGGGCTCTCCGGTGTCAGCGAGGTAGTGGGCAATCGGGTGCGCTTCCGGGGCGGCTCCATCAAGGGCGGCGCACGGGAGGCTTCTATGTCCTGCGCTTCGAAGATCTTAGGCTGGTAGAATTGGCGCCATGCATAGCTGTGATGCTGCGAGTTTGTGCATTGACTCAGGAGCATTTCTGTGGCGAAACCTAGTTATGGAAAGATCGTAGCATGTTTCATGGCTCGACCCAGGGACTGGCCGGGCGGAGTGATGGGTGCATTGGGCCACTTCTGCTATCCCTTTTATGTCTACGGCTAGGTAAGGAGTCTCATGGTGAGGCTTTTGGGTTACGGTTACACAGCCTTGATTAGAGGGTCTTCTGCATGCGGCTCTGGAAAGCTTCTGATACTCATCCTCACTGTAAAAAACAAGACCTGAGCCAGGCATAAACGAAACAGCCCGCATGCAACCGTTCGGCCCATCGGTACAAACACAGCTGAAACCTACGCAATGCCAGAGCACAAAATACCGGGATCGTTAAATCCTTCAGGACGGCTGGAAATGCAAGAATGAGCAAGCACAACCGACCACAAACAGCACTACCCAACATATAGAAGTGTGGCTGGAAGGGATTATATCGTTGAAACATCGATGCGAACCAAAAAAAATCGTCGAAAACTCGAAGGCCCAAATCGTCAACCCCGTACAAAGCCTGGACAACGTCCGCTGGCCACTTGCTTGAGCCATCTGCAATACGGCCCGAGTACGTGGTGAAATTGGGTCGAATTCAGCAACTATGGGCTATGGGGATCTATGGGGACAAATAATTGTACACTTCTGAGGCAGGGGAGATTTTGATTCGGGACCTTCGTTGCGGCTCGCGATCCGGGCTCCGTGCTGTTCTGCCCAGGAACTGAATCCACTCGCGCTGAGATGTGGGGACCTCAGATTTGGCTGCGAAACCTGTCTTTGCATTGCGCCAGGTAGTAACCGCATGTTACGGGTCTCCTGAGATTGATCTGGTAGTTACAGTTATCCGTACGACTGGATCCATGCCGTTGGGGTTGTGCATATGCATCTCTGTTCTTGCAACCTTCCATTCGCTCAACTCTCCGCCCCCAGATGTGCAGAATCAGGGCACGCCGAGTTGAAGCTGGAACCCCAGGGCTGGATCTGCTACAACCTGGTGTTTATCTCACTACTTGTTTGCTTTTGAAGGAAAGGTTTGAACGGTTTGACTGTTTATGTGCGGTGTGCTGCCCTGCGCTGGCTAGGACAGCACACAGCAGACTTCAGTCATGACCTCCTCTATTTACAGTTTTAGAGTAAGGCTTCAATGATCAAGGCGCGCCACGCTTCTACACGATATGTGACGCTTTTTGCTCATATCACCAATTCGTTCGCGTGAATCGGAAACATGTCCCAGGTGCTGCAAGAGCATTGGGGCTAGTTTTGGCTCCAGCATTGAGTGTCCGCTGAAGAAAAGATCCTTCAGCTCCGTGAGCCACGCTCGCTCCAGACTCCCACGAAGCAGAACTATCTAGATACACAAGCAGGAGGTCACACTCTCGTGAGACACCGCCACGACAACCAAACCCACAACAAGAGCGCGACACGATGCTACAGCCCTAAGAGTGTGCCGTGTAAGGTCGGGGCAATGGAAGGAATTAGCAGCAAACCTTCGAGGCTCATGCTCTGTAAGCAATTTGGATTTGCATGTTTGGCTCATGTTTGCAAGGTGTTGGTGTCCACAAGGCACAAACGTCTCTCGGTGAGATTCTGCATGTTGCTACAGTAAACTGTCATCCATGCTTCCGGCGGTGCACGCAGCCAATGTTGTCCTGGTGTGTTGAACTACCATCGGCGGCTGCGCAATAGGCAGTTTTTGTACACACAAGCCCTGCTATGTCTCTGAATAGATTTGGGACGGATGGCCCTTTTTGCAGGATCTTAATCTTGGGACTGCGAACTTGTTGCTTCAGGCTGCTGAATATCTACAGGCAAACCTTGTTACTGGTCATCTCCAGCCCGAGCTCCTCTGTAGCACATGTTCTATGATATGCTACTCTCTCCAGTCTTCGCCCCAAGCTTCCGCAGCCTGCTACTGAACTACTACACCCAAAAGAGCCATGCCAGACAGCTGACTGCCACAACAGATCGAACTGGTATAGTCTTGTTGCATAGCTGTCACGACAAGATCGGATCTTGAAAAGCATCCTACTGTCCTACTGTACAAGTGCCGTTGTAGCGAAACCACAAATCTCTCTCTTGGTCGTGAGAACACATCCAACAGAACAACATGTCGTGAAGAAGATTCAAGTGAAGCAAACTCGAAGCACATATTGAGCACAACCGGAAAACAGTGTCAATAAGACTAAGAAAACGACACATCTCAGCGAAGCCTCGTCACTCGCACGCTGTTTCTTTCACCAGGTACACACACACCCTCTCTCTCACTCTCTCTCTTGCTTGCTTGCTTGCTTGCTACAGGGCGTGAGGATACGGCAGCGTCCAGGCAGTCCCCCCGTGCGCGCGAACCCCCGCGTCTCTTGGCGAGGAGTCCACCCCCTCCGATAGTTTTCTTCGGAGGTCTCTGCTCTCTCTCTCTCTCTCTCCCTTTGCTTTGCTTTGCTTGGGGTGTGAGGCGGGTGCAGTCCACCCTCTCTCTCTCTCTCTCTCTCTCTCTCTCTCTCCCTCCCTCTCACTCTCATATATGCGAATACATGTGTATATATGTATACATACATATACATATAGCGTGTGCTGCAAGGCCTGCTTTTGGTCGAAGAGTCATGTGCCTCAAACTATGTTCCCTTCAGTGAAGTCCAGGAGGACCTCCAGCGCCATCCACGTCCGAGTCGTCCACGCGGTAGTCGGTTCCTCGGCCACCGCGCCTGTCTGTGACCTTAGCACAAAGTATCTGTCGACGGTGTGTGCATCTTGCTGCCTGCACCGGGTGTGGATCACTTAGTGACTTGGGCCACGTCCGAAAATGCTTGTCGGTCTAATGACAAGATATCTTCCAGAACTGCTTCTGCTGCCCCGGAGCAGTCTTGCAACTGTGTTGGATAGTGAAATCATCAATCTGGCTGGCAAAACGACTGACCGCAGGCTTACCTGCTTCGTTTTTGCTTCGGAGTGAGTAGGCCGCCTGACGTAGTGTATGAAGCTTCCAGTTCCGTGTCCAGGCTGAGGGCAATCTCAGCAATTCTGCTGCAAGCCTACCCAACACTTCTCGGAACGCTGGGGTCGTCACCGTCACGCGCCAGGTCCTGGAAAGTATGCTGCTGTCGGGAACTTTTGGAAGCAGAAGCCGTTCGAAACACGCATGCATCATATCGCCACCGGTCGTGGCGATGCTCTGACTCGACGGGTGTCAGCAGACTGCATGGCCATTTGAGCCTGTAGGACAAGGATGACTCCGCCAAATTCCGGACATCTCGAATGTTACGCGGTGAAACCCAGCAGCCACAAGCCCCAAACTCCATGCCGCCATCCCACTGTTCGGAATCTGCTCAGCCGACATGGAAGCCCAGATCATGCGAAACGTGGCGCTAGCCGCTAGGCTCTCTTTGAGTCGACTTGGTGGCTGGCTTGTTTCGACCACCGCCACCACCGAGAGGCATCGTGGCCTCGGCAACCCAGAAGTGCAGCTGTTCAAGACATCTTGCAGAACGAGCATTGGCACGCAGCCTGAAACGACGAAGTCAAAATCAGCGGCCGGTGGCATGGGTTTCTTTCACATATGAGATGCTTCGTTTGCGAGTTACGGGGTTACATAAGGGTTTACTGCGTCGGCCCCAAAGCTGGAGGCAAAACAAAGCCTACGTATCGTCATGACCGAGGTTGAGACTGTACCCATAGTTGTCGCAACGCGTAGATTCGGATTTCGGAACTCAAGCCCAAGCCTGCGATTTGGAGTACATTCCGCGAAAAGTCCAACGAACTCTCGGATAAGTCAAAGCTCTAGCGATTTCGGCGATGAAGCTGCAACAGCTGAAGCCCACAAGCACCGCGCCCAGACAACCCCAAACCCGCCGTAATTCCCACTACGACACACGCAGACTAAACTAAGCCCATGCAATCGTCAACTTGCATCCCAGGGATGCCGCTCGATTCAGATTCTCCTTCCACTGCTCTGGCTCGGCCTCGTAGAGCCTTGGCGAATCCGAGGCTTTGAATTTGGATTCCCTTCGAGCGCTGGTCAGGCCTCGAACTGAGAGGTAGACGCCAAACCCGATAAGCATTTGCCAACCAACATCACATTCAACACGATTGAACTCAGGTTTAGCTTTAAATCAACTCCATGGATACTGCGTTTAAACATTTGAACACAATATGCTTTATCCCACGGCTGCACTTGGCTGGACGTGCGGCGTGCGAGACAAAGAGCGCACCGCATCCTGTCAGCTGTAGGGAACTGTCCCTAGCTACAAAAGAAAGCGGGTTCGGTTCCTTGGCGCTGCTAGGGTTCACTTTGCTTCTCAAAAGCCTTAAGGTCGGATGATCGAGTCCTCGCTTCTTCTCCGGAGGTTTGTAGATCACGCTCTTCCATGTTCTAATTACGCGCCGGGGTGGCTTGTGCACTTGAACATTTCAGGGCCATTAAATCCAGTTAAATTCAGTGGCCACAGATTTGAGGATCGACGGTTTAGCGCTCCTAGCCTTGATCGCGTGAAGTCTCTAAGCTCTCGAGAGGACTATAATGCCTGGGAGACACACGCCATGTGATGTTGCTGCTAGTTCGTGTGACGAAATGAACTCTTAACGAACACTGGCTTGCCTATCATTGACACTTTTTTCTCTCGCCCTTCCAGCACCTATCGCTTGAACCCCAAAGCCTTCAAACCATGCGTTCCCGCTGCCCCTGAACTGCGTAGATGCCACCATGGCTATTTGTCAGCACATGCAGTGAATCCAGCGAATGCCTTCATGGCACTCGAATCCCAAACCCTCGAAAACCTTCAGCAGAGAAGCCCGGATTCCCGGATTCCCACTGGCACAGTAAAGCCCATGAGTACACAACAGGATAAACAGCACCAACTCAAGGCGAGCCCATGCCTAACTGCGCGTCAAGGCACAATTTATTTAGCCTTAAAAACTGTTGGTCATAGACCCCAAAGCCGGAGCTTGACTAGAAGCTGACTAGATCGTAAACTTCCAACGTTCTCGAAGGCACTGGAAAATACGTTAGCCAAGCCTGCGCAAGAAGTCGCGATCCTACGAAAGCTGAAACAAAAACACAGTACCGCCACACCTGCCAACAGCTGCCAACAAAAGATGATAATTGATTCAACATTCCCAAGCGGAACTACGGGTAGATGTGGAACCTGAGCCGGGGATTTTCCAAACCATGCCTATCTGCATTAACGGAAGCAGCACTCGCCATACACCCCAGACTAGACCCCAAAGTAAAGGTGCACTCCAACCTACCAAACTAATCTTACTACACATGTGCCCACAACAAACGGTGCTGTGCTAAGGCCTAAGACCCTGCTCGAACCTAGGCCACAATGTTTTGCAGCCGAAGGATGGGCCTCGCAGGCCCCACCGAGGCCCCGTGAGCGTGCCGAGAGCCGCAAGGACTCGACCAGTTGATCAGCCTTTGGCTTTGCGCTCGATCTCTGCCACCAAACATCTTACTAAATCCTTTTACATGGGCCTATGCCCTGAACCTAGAGCATAAGCCCCAAGCCCAAAAAGCCGAACACAGTAAAACCCTAAACCGCTGAACATGAGATTCAGGGTTCGACTCTAACTTGGCCCATGGCCTCCGGGTGTAGGGTTTACGGTGTTGGGGATTCTTGGGGTGTAAGCTGCCCACCTTCCGGCTTATGGCTGGAGTCCCTCTGAAAAGGAACCGTGCAAAGATTGGCAGCAAGGGGATTCTTATCCGGCCCTTTCTTCGAAGCTTGGGGATGAATCAATGGCCGGCAAACTGCACAGCGTGGATTTGGGGCTCTGCCTTCAGGGTTTCATTTTGAGCTGGGGTTACATGGGCGCGGGCCTAAACTTGTATCAAGCTCAGGACTTGTGCCGTCTCTGAAGAGCAGGAGGTACGCTCGAAACCTCGACTTTAGCCTATCAAACTATGCCGGCCTTCAACCGATTTAAAAAGTCTCGTAGTCCATGGAACAACGCCACACACAGGAATTATGCAATTACAGCACACAGATTTCAGCTGCTCTTACCCACCCTTGCTACAGGGGATTGTCCTAAACAACCACGTGACGTCTTTTAATGTTTCCAAAACCGAAAACCGGAGGCATGTGGTCAAGGTATAGCGCCACAGCGCTTGGTCAAGTCCCGGACATGTATCCGATCTTTGGCGATGATGAGGACGGGTACGCGCTCCCGGGCCTGTCGGGACGTCTGTGATTGCATAGCATGCGAGGCGGGTGAAGCCGCGGGTGCGAATTTTCTGAACTCTGGTACTGTACATGCCTAAACAACGGCCCCCATAGTTAATTTCGCAAGGGTCCAGCCGAGACCAATTTGGGAAGCAAACTCTGACAAACAGCTCCTGTGATGACATGAGTTCTCGCCAACACTTGTCTGAACGTGCTGGGATGCATCTAGAGGTAGCATCATATGGCATCACCTTATCTTCTTGATCGCAAGCCCGAGACCCAAGTGACTCCACTCTCCGGCTCACCTCAAAGGCCACTTCGGCAATGCGGGCTGTCTGGGCCTCGCATGGGAGTTTGGGGATCTTTGGAGACGGGAAGCCCGAAAGCTTCATGCTCTCACATTCGGACCAGCCAAGTGAGGATCTCAAGCGTTTTGCAGGGTGGATCGTCCAGAAACCGAGCATGGAAGGACCGAAGCGGACAGCCAAACCTCCACAGTCTCCTCGACATACACGGGTGTGTGCATCTCCCCCAACTTGGCCGGCAAAGGCCTCGACAGGTGCTGCGATGGAGCTGCAGTTAAAGCTTGGCAGAGTTTTAGGTTTGATGAGAAGCCGCTCGGTCATCTGATCATCGTCATCGTCGCAGCTGAGAACAACAAACCGCCCAACCGCTCAAGTGGCTACGGCTACGGTCCTACCAGGCAAACCCGTTTTCTGTTCTGTCTTAGGCCGCAGCTCGTGGAACGGAGATCCTCTGCAGGTCCTTGCAAATCAGCTTAAGACACATCCGTTGCAGAACCGCCCAGGTGCCCGACACATGCGCAGATTATGAAACTCTTCTGACTGCCGGCCGCTCAACCGAACGTCGGCTTCCCAGGGTTGAAACTGGGGATCCAGCTTCAGGAACGGCGGCACCTCAAAGAACGCTGCACCTGCCGGGACATCAACCACGCAGCTACTCAGGCAGGGGAGGGGTGGATGATGGTGGATGTCAACCCCACTGCTGCCTAAAGGCTTCAAACTGAACCAACGAGCAGACTGTTTTGTAGAACTTCATCTTGAGCCTTAGAGGCCCCTTACAATGCCTTATACAAACGTCAACGGAGAGTCCAAACCCGAACTATCAAACACGCTAAAAACCTCCGAGGGCCCGGGCGATAGGTCTCTTGCAGGAATTTGCGCTCGGGCTCACTGCCGATGGAACCGCTCAAGCCTTCACACTCACCCAGCATGATCATCGTCAGGGCACGCACGGGCATGCCTACCTACTGCGACTACGACGACGATGACGACGACTGCAACTAACACCACAACTTCCTCGATGATCATGTGCGGTGGAAGAGTGAGACAGGCAGCCGAGTTAATTAAGCAAGAGACGCACTACAACAACAACCATAACCATTGTTATCACCACTGGCAATACGACGTGACATGTGCAACTTCCTCTGGGGTATAGAATGGAAAAAAACATCCGGGGTCGTAACAAAAGAAAAACACTGGAATACTTACAGCGCAACCAGTCGAAGCACCGAGCTTCATGCAACTCAGAACAGTTGACATGTCTTTGCCAAGGTCATGTGGCTTCACCCTGTCCTGTAGTAAACAATGCCAGGACTCAGAACACGGAATTGGGCGGCAGACTTTTCCACAACATATAGACCCCAAGAACACCCGAGTCAAGGTCAAGGTGCAATGCCTACGGAACCGTAAGCGATCCCGACTGCGTTTGGGATTCAAGCCTGTTAAAGCATGCCTGGGCTCCTGGCCCAGAATTCTGTGGTAGCGACGGAAGACGCGGGGTCGCGACCTCGCAAGCACGTCGAAGCATGAGCTTCTGGCACGAATCCCAGGACAGCTGTCGACTGCTCAGTCTCAGCTGATAGCCAGCCCAAGCACATACATGGCATGTATAATGCAGACATACATACATGCATGCATGCATACATATATATATATATACACACGATATACTCAAAGAACACGAAACCGCGAAAGGGTAGGTACCCATTGGGGCAGGGGGCTGTCGAACCGATTCGAGCGAGTTGTAAGACGGCGTGCTGGAACGATGACTTCGACCTGAAAACTGGTCCGCGGCATAGCAATGCAAAGTAACAACAGTTCACATCACAATCTCCAGGACACCGGCATGACGAACAGGCGTTCCTGGTAGAAGATCTCTTTGCCTCGGATCATGCCAGCATCTCGCAAAGATCTAATGTGCGGCAAGCTAGGAGGGTTTCAGTCTATCTTCGAGAGCTCTATGGTACAAGGGACCAGCTACTAAACCAACAAGTAGATAAATGCATATTCCACGCTGTTACGCACTAGCTGCAAGGTCCGCTGCGAAAAAACATCTTTCTCGGCGAAACAAGACCTTCGGCAACCCGAACCCCAACACGGCACCTTGAACACTTAGTCAACTCCCCAGGGGACCTTGTAAGCTCCTGAAGCCCAAATGCAATAAGCTCGGGCCCGAGGGACTAAGACCGTCGTGGAAGTTCCGGCACTCCAGCGCCAAAGACCAGGCCTGCAGCCGACCGGAGTGGGTTTCGGGCTTTGGGTCTCTCACGGACACCGTAAGGAGGGCCAGAGCGACACAGGCAAACGGAAAAGATAGGGCCACAATCCACAGCGCTCCAACAGGAAAACTCCTCTTCGCACTGTCGGGGCAGAATCTATCTCATGTTGACCGACTACTTTAACCCTAAGCCCTGAAATCTAGGCGAGAACCGATGGCCAACAAACAGCCGGACTTATCGCAAGTGCTTCACAAACAAACGGAAACAAATAATAGACACGAATTCTTTGCAATAAGAAGCTGGAGACATCAACGGTTTTTGCAATCATTGTGACACTGTGCTCCACCTTCGGGTTGGCTCGGCCCGCATGGAGCGCGCAGTATCTGCCAGATTCCTTGGAGTAGACGTAGTCCTGCTACACAGCTCTTGAGACTCAGAGTGTGGGGTGTGGGGCGGGACACCGCCAGTCGATGTCACATGGTCTTCCTGAAAGGACCTGTGTTTATCCGCAGGGACCTGCCCGACAAGAGAAGCCTAATTGGAAGTAGCTCCTCACCAGAGACGAAGCGGAGACCTCGCTCCCACTCCTGCAAGGTCTAGTCAGAGTTTGGGTGTTTAGGATGCCTTGAAAGGTAGCAGGCAATAGGACAGAGCTGGACCGGCAAAGCCTAGGCTCCCCTTCAACACCTTCGGAAGTATCGTAGCAACCGGGCATAACCGGCTTCTTGCAGAGAGAGAGAGAGACACATCAAAAGGTCTACGAACCATATTTCACTGAATTGTTATTTATATATTGTTGTAGTGTGTCTGCCCCTGTCAACTAACATGTTTATTTGCTTGGCAAGCGGGTTGTGAAAGACCAAATCAGTTACTGGTCAACATATTTAAAACACTAGCCCGAAAAAAAAACATCGCAGCAACCATTGCGACAGCAGTATAATACGCATAGCAAGCGTACCAAACCAGTGATAATACCGCACGGCGCTGCGCAGTGTGAAGTGCATATACATTTCATCAACCAGCTCGACATGACATGCGTATCAGCGTCGAAAGGTCCGTTGAAGCATGCGCTAGTTGCCGTTCACTCGGATCAAAAACTCGAAAGCATCACCGGTGCACCCCTCAATTTTGCTCGTCGGATGTGTCGATTGCGACGGCGCTGAACAGTCTTCGACTGTATAGCAACTACTGACAGGTCGCGAATCATACCGAACATTGATGTATCTATAATCCTCGTGAAGCCGGTACAGTTGGTCTTGCCCCTCCGGCAGAAAACGAAGAATCCTAAAGTATCCTACAGGCCTAGACTACTTTGCCAACATCATCCTTGTCCTTGGAGGTCTCAATCGCCTCTTCGGCCTTCGCCTCAGCCAGGATCGGCTTCTTCTCCTCCTTGGACGGCGCTTCCAACATAGCCAACAAGGACTTGTAGAAGAGGGCGGAGAAGATGAGACCCAAACCCAGGACCTGGAGCCCTGTGACCGGGTTGTGGTACTTCAGGTAAGAGACCAATATCGAGACAACCTGACGGACGTTCATCGTCGCTGCAAAGACCAAGGCCCCGAACTCCTTGATCCTGAGCCACGGTGCAACAGCTTGGCATTTGGACTTTTTCTAGTGTTTAAAAAGGGAAAGATTTTTCTATCGTGCCCTCATCCTCAATGTGATTCCACACGTGCGAATCACATTAAAAGCGTGAGCTGAAAACAGCACCCAGATGCTGCGAGTAGATGAAGAATTGGCTGGCGACCGCCGAGCCACTGAGCAGGGCGGAGTCGATCCAGAACTGGGGATGAGCGAAGCCGAAGGCAAGTGCTGGCATGAACTGGCCTTCAGGGCATAGGAATTGGGATTCATCTTTCAGGATCGGAGTAAGGTTCGAAGTTTCATACGTCTGAGGTATCAGACTTGCAAACCATGCAGTTTGAAGGTCTGATGGGTTAGGAAGTTTCAGCCACCGCCTGTAGCAAGCAAGGTGACAAGGGACACAGTGGCAGAGAGACCGTTGATGTACAGCATCTGGTTGTACTTCGTCGTCTTATGCTCCTTGAAGAGTTTCTCTTGGAATGTGGAGGTTAGCCCATCTAGTGCCAGGAAGCAGCCCAGCAGCAAGAAGCCCTTGAAGCTATTGCCGGCATCCAGTTTGGAATGGGTCGGCCCTGTCATCAGAAACTCGGTGCAGCCCAAGGTGACGGCGAGTGCCACAAGCCAGTCCCTACCGCTGTAGGCTTTGCCGGCAATGATGATGCCCCAGATCATCACGGGCATCATCTTGAAGCTTTTCCCCAGCATCTGGACCGCGAAGGAAACATACTTCAGGGCCTCATACTGGCAGGAGCTGGCGTAGACATTGGAGAGGGAAACGACAAGATACTTCCAGAGAGGAGCGGCATTCCTCATCGACTCACCTTTGCTAGCTGCCATACACACTGCGAACATCACTGCGGCCAGTCTGTTGCACAAGACTAGGAACACGGAATACTGGAATAGGTTCCCGTCGTAGGCCACGGTCATAATGCCCTCCTGGAGGATGCCGTACAAGACGAGGGTGCCGATGATGCCCGCACCATAGAAGACACACCAGCTGGCGGAGGAGACCTGACCCTCAGCCATGGCTTCGCTAATCGGATGGTAAAGAAATGGAGGTTGTGACTTCTGAGGCTCCGTGCCAGAATCTGAAACAAGCGAAGACTGTTTGGCTGTTTCAGGAATCCTGAACACTGAACCCCGAATCCCAACATCGTGGAAGATGGTGTAATAGTCAAGCTAGATACATGACTATTTGCGCCCATGACTAGCAGCAACTTGTACCATGTCTCTAAGCTAGAGAGATGCCAACCTCAAACCCCATCAAATAGAGCCTGGACGCTTAAACCGCATTCCCTCCCGAAATCGCCCCGCAGCCAAGGCCTTGCACACCTCGTGGAAGACTCGGTTCGCCGCTGGATGGTTGGATGTGCGGAGGTGCGCCAACTGGTCGGGCCTTGGGTCGATCCGCGAACAGTGGGGCTTTGGCTTTCTTTCTGGCGTAAGGTTGCGGAGCAAAAAGCGATCATGGTTCCAAGCTACGGGCGGATGTTAAGCTTGATCTATAGATGTTTGATGCGCCCTCCCTCAAGTTTCGGATTAAAGGATTCTTTGGTTCCAGCGTAGGACTTATCGAATGCTCAAAACGATGGAGGGCTTTTGAGGTCTATGGAGTCTATGGCAAGCTGTGTCTGGGAAACCCCCAACCCTTTCAAGATACGTAGAAAAACTTCGAAGAAGTGGAGCGCTGCTATATCCAGAGAAGAGCAGAGCTGCAATCATCAGAAGCCTTGTGCCAGAAATGTTCCAGACACCAGCATGCAACAACATGATTCACACGCAGCCCATCCTTTTCTGCCTCTCTCTCTGGCTCGCTAACCACAGCCGCGAGGATCCGGTCGAACATCTGCTGTGTGATGTTCTCCTCACTGACCTGAAGCCAACCAATATGATTAACAGCACGTGAAACTGGATATGTAATATTGTACACAGACAAGCGTATATGCATATGTATCTATGTATATATATATATATATATATATATATATACATACATACACACATATGTATCACATATGTGTACACATACACAGATCGACCAATAGATGAATGTATGGATGGATGGATGGATGGAAGGATAGATGGATGGACGGATGGATGGATGGATGGGTAGCCGACAAGATAGATCCGAACGAGTAAGCCAGATGATGAAAGAAGGCTGTCATGGCAAGATGTGATAGGATATGATGCAACTTGCAACAGCATGATAATACCACGTCTGCATACGCCGGTTGGCATGCGAAGCAAGTTACAAAAAGAGCTCCCGATGTTTGAAGCCACTGCGCATACGTCTACACTGACTTCAACATTCCCCTTGCCTGTGCATGTGTACATATGTACAGAATATGTATGTATGTATATGTATGTATGTACGTATGTATAAACACATGCATAAATGTCTAACTACATGCAAATATACAAATCTTTAAATATATATATATATATATATACTTATGATACTTATTTGTATATGTATATGTGTGTGTGTATGTATGTAGGTATGCATGTATGTATGTATATGCGCTTGTATGTATTCATAAACATATGTCATCACAGGTGTATACATATGTATACATATATATATATATATGCATATCGAATTACTGCAGCCTTTGGGTTCGAAGGGGTTTCCAGAGGGCGCAGTGTTGAAACCTTTTGGGCCGCGCGGTCTGTGACATTCCGTGGAGCTTCTCTCTACTGCGTTTGAGGCATGAGGGCTGCAACGGAATGGGTTAAGAATGGAGCACCCTGCATGAAGAAACTGGTAACTACTAGAGGGCGGAGGGTGAAAAACACAGCTTGAAGGAAAAGGCAGAGACCAAGTCCAAGAATCAGCTTCATCTACTTTTGCTGATATTCGCCGTTCCGAGATGCACTGGAGGCGGCTTGCTGCTATCGAACCAGCTTCCTCACGAACCACCCTGAGCCCCTCCACCAGGCCTCGAAGCCTTCCGGCTTTGGGAAGCCTCCAGGAAGAGGCCCAAAGCTGCGGGTGCAAAGCCTCGCGTCCCGGGGCACTATCGTCTTCCGAAACTCCGCGAGATCCCTGAAGCTCCGATGGATTTGAAGTCCAAGCATAACAGAAGCACGGCTGTCCGTCCGAACCTCCAGGGCATATTCACTTTAACCGCCAAACACTCCCTGAAGCTCACGACTCCGGACCATTGCGCTGAAACAAGTATCAAGCCGCCAGCTTCAGGAAATGTCAATGTATAGTCGCGAAACCCACGTCGCAACAGTATAAAACCCAGGAAGACCAGTCAACGCCTGCGGCAAAATGCTAAGTACCCCGTGCCTGTCCGACTGATCCACAAAAAAGGACCACCATGCCAAGCAGCCAAAGGATGCAGCAGCCGGGTGACTTTGCCCAACCGCTATGGCTAAGCCTTCACAGGTTGAGGATTCAGAGCAAGTGGGCCATGGGTTCTAGGGGGCGGGGGGTGTGCCCGGTAGATGGTCCAGCGACCCGCAACCGCGGAATCCGCGACCTCAGACCCTCAAGCCTCGAAAGTTGAAACTGCTTACGGCTGGGACGTGTGTGCCAGGCTGCTAGGCCGAGAGACAGGGCTGTTTAGTTAGCCTGCACAAAGCATGGCATCTTGCGGCTTGTGAGTAACCTTCCACTTTGAGACATGGTGGTCGAGCTCGTACAGGTAGGATCCAGGAGTAGACAATAAGCCTTAAAGCTTAAACTCTAGAATTCTTAGAACACAGCTGACCACCGTGAAAACTGACAAGGCTTGGGATCCCGTGATTCACTTGACCTGCGACCGTACACAACGAACTGTGTCTGCTTCATGCGGTCGTCCAAAGGCCTTTGCTCAACATCGGCCATGTCCTGCACCCATAGCACATCTCCAAGTGCAAGCTTGATGTCGGGCGGGCATCTAAGACTCTACTAGACTAGATGCGGATGTGCAGCAGTAAATCCGATACGAAAAGCACTTCCACGCCTCTTTCTGTTCAAAGAGATGCGCCTGTACTGGGTCTGCTCTGATCTCTGATGACAGGGTATCTGTGCAGTTCTCCCGGCACTGTGACCAGGACACAAGGAAAACGGCCCGGCGCATCCCTGGAATAACACGGCGAAGAGGCTCCACCCTCGTCGAGCTATGTTTGGCTGCAGTTTTTTTCAGGGCTGCCACGAGGCCTCGTACAGATCAGCATTGACCTTGCTGCTAGCTCTCCTTCCGTCTGCATCGACTTGTTACACTCCAGGGCGTATCTTTTGAAGGCTAAGCTCTCTACTTTTTCTGCTACTCCTCGCGGTCACACACACATATATATATATATGTATGTACACACATATCTGTATCTATATATACACGCATACATACATATTAGAATACATGCGTGTGCATGAACAGGCATCTTGCCGGTCGTTTGTGGTTTCTGAACTTGCTTTTACATCACACGGCAAGCTGATGATTTCAGTTGATTGACGTGGTCCTGTCAGAGTCAACTTCCGTCTTTGGCACCACATAGAGCAAAGGGAGAGCTCTTGGCAGGTCGCTATAGGTGCAAAGATTTCACTGCAACGGGCTGCCTCATCCAGCCCGTGCAAGGGCTACGGACCGCTTGGCTCCTGGAATTTCTGAATATCTTTTCAAAAGGAACGGGCGTACTCGGAACCCTCTTCTGAAATTTCTGCTTCTGCCGCACTACTTTTGCTGGCAGTACAAAAGGACAACGGCGACCGGGTAAGGTATGACTTGTGCAAGTAAATGATCCAACTTGCTACTGATGCACAAGCGTACAGAAGATCCTGGGCCAAGGCTGTGCAATTTGCGAGCCACGCCGCCTCCGTACATACAAGCGACGCGTGCCACGTCAGACATAGGCATCCAGTACACAGGATGTTTGTCAACGCCGCTACACTTCCATTAGTGCGCAATCACCAAGCTTCTGAAAGTCGCTGTGAGGTTTGGATCACAAAAGCAAGATGCCTGCGAAGGCTTCTCCACGAAGGAGAAACAGCCCTGCACCGCAGCTGCGGCACGGAGGATCCCAGCAAAGCAAACTCTCCGACGCTCTGCGCGGTGGGCTCACAGAAGCGAGCCCGGTGGCTGAGGTCATCACATGTTGCATCGCATACTCAGGGAGCCCAGTGCTTACCTGCAGAATAGGGCGGCAGGGTGCATCGAGAATGGAGGACAGATCAAACAACTCCCAAAAGCTCTAAGTTGAGGATACCTGCCTGACTTGGTCAACTATGCAACATAACACCCACCTTTGCAACAAAAAGCTTACGCGAACACAGGCCAGTCTTCAGAACTGCATGTGTTAGGCCTGGGACTGCGAATCAAAGTTAAATTTCCATGGCCTGTATAGTTCTATTGAAGATTCTATTGCACCCACGCAGCTGCGGCAGGACCAGGTTCTTAGCCTCAGCCGCCCGCACGGCGGGGCGGCGGTGGAAGATCCTGCGCGGCTGGGCCCACGTTATGCACATTTCCCAGATGGAGCTACACGTGCGTGAGCCAGTAGGTGGTATGGCTGAGGCAGAACGCGGTCGTTGACATGGTCTCTCTCCATACATGCATGCTCTTAGGAACCTTAGGTCGGAGAGCATCGCAGCCTCCTACTGCTCCTCCTGCACCACCAGCTACCACAACTACCACTACCGCCACAACTACAGCGACGACTACCACCAATGCTGCTCTTGGGTCTACTGTTGCTTTGTAGTAACGCTCCTTGCTCTAACCCGATGTTGCTCCGACATGATATCTGGCAGTCTCGAACCCACCCGGGGCGTCCTTGATTGTTTTCATCTTCGGGCCCTGCCGATCCGGCTTGTCGGGCTTGCCACCACCACCGCCTCCGTAGCCTTCACAGCAAATGAAGGGCTGTGGGGTTTGAAGCTTGAGATACCGAATTCGGCTTCAACTTGATTCCATTCTACCGTGCTTTGTGCAAAGGCTGCCGGCTCGTCTTAGAGGGCTTTGTCTGACATGCAAAAATTGGGCTCATGGCTCACAGGTTCCAGCTGGGTCCAGGGCTAGGCATTCGGCGCTTGGACCCATTGGAGATGTCAGCGGAAAACCTCACTCCTTTCACTGATCTTCTCTGGCTTGTTTGTAAGCCCCCAAAGCCATACCGAGAAGCTTCAAATTTAATGCCACCGCTAACAATATGAAACTGAAGCTCGCCTCCACTTGAGGAGGAGGAGCCTCCCCACATCCAATCGAACCAGCCTTTTTCCTGCCGTTGCTGCACTCAGCTGGAGGTTAAGGCTTGCCGTCTGAGACTCGGAGGAAGGCTAAGGTTCAAGATCGACTGGTCAATGCAACTGAATGAGTCACTCTTCTTTCAGAATCGAAAACTGCCTCGACATTTTTCCCAGCGGTATCGCACTCATTCGATGCAGCGTGGGTGAGCTACTCGGCCAGCGTTCTT